CCAAAAAAAGAGGTAGTTACGGGGGGAGGGGAAACAAATGGAATTTGTATAAAGGTTTACCTCTAAAAGAAAAAACTAACAATATGGAAAATAGTTTTTTTCTTCTTTCTTTGAGAATACAATTATTAATGCCATTGATAATGGGGTTTGCTAAAAGGCGGAAATACACCATGTAAAATAGAGAATGGAAGGGCGATAAAGAGAGGGAAGGAGAGAGAAAGGAGACAGGAGAGGGAAATAGAAGGGGGGGAAAGTGGAGGAGAGAGGGAAGGTGTGGAAAGAGAGGAGAGGAGAGGGAGAGAGCAAGGGGAAGTAGAGAAGAGAGAGAGGGTAGAGGGAAGGAAGAAGGTAGGGAGGAGAAGAGAAGGAGAGGGGGAGGGGCTGCCACAGAGAGGATGGGGGGGTCAAGCTATTTTCCAAAGCACCCGAAGGCCAGAGGAGGAATAATGGATGGAAACTCATCAAGGAGAGATTCAACCTGGAAATAAGGAGGAACATTCTGACAGGGAGAACAATCAACCCATGGAACAGAAATTGCCTTCAGAAGTTGTGGGAGATTCATTAATGGAGGCTTTCAAGAAGAGACTGGACTACCATCTGTCAGAAATGGTGTAAGGTCTCCTGCTTGGGCAGGGGGTCGGACTAGATGACCTACAAGGTCCCTTCCAACTCTGCTAATATAATCTAATAATTCTCCCCAAGGTGGGTTGGGGAACAGACCAGGAGTCTGAGAGGAAACTCATTCTGGGTAGCCAGATTCTGCCAAAACCCGCTAGAAAGAGAGAGTCTGCTGCTCTCTTAAATTGGGTCCATTCGTCCTTTTCGGCTCTGTAATGGGGAGATTTATCACCGTTACGAGCCAAATTGTTTTAATCAGCACAAAAAAGGTTGGATTTGCTCCCAGGGTTGAGATGCTGGAAAAATCCGAGCTGAACCTTCCCTTAACCAGTAGGGTGGAAGTTTGTGCTATTTCCAAGGGGCTTTTGGGGGGGGCGGTGAGCCCCAAGAAAGGAAGCAAACAGATCCTCAAAAGGGCGAAGAATCTCCCCCCCTCGGACACCCAGCGTGATTTAAAAGGCAACTGTTTTGCGGTTGGGGAGGATTCGAAAACACAGCCAACCAATATGCTGTCAAAGTCAGTGCTTTCTTGGCTGATGGGGACTTAAAGTCACCGAAAAGTCCTTTTAATTAGTTAATTATTATTCTAGGCCATTTAGCACTTGGAGGGCAGCATCCGGCCTGAGCGAGGTTCCATCCCTTATTTTCAGCTTGGCTTCTTCTAAGAGTCCATTAGAGAAAGAAAGGAAGAGTTTGCACTTACAGTAGTGGCCAAAATTGGGGAAACCTTTTGGGAAAAGTGTATTTTTGAGGTTCGATGACTAATAACCCCACTTTTTTGTGGGGGGGAGGGGAGTTTCAAGATTATCCTATTCCACTGCTGGAATTGGCCTGGGAATAGCCCAGCTCTTAACCCAATGGAAAATCTGTGGAGCCGACTAAAGAATTGTGTTATTCAGAAGTGATCCAGCAATAAAATCCAGTTAATAGAAGCAATCGTTCAATCTTGGCTTCACATTGTAACAGCTGCAGAACTAAAAGACTTGGTTCACTCCATGGGAAGGCGTCGCAAGGTCGTAATTCATGCTAAAGGTTACTCAACAAAGAATTAACTGACACGGGGATATAATTTTTGAATATATCTCATTTTTAGCAATAGCAATAGCAGTTAGACTTATATACCGCTTCATAGGGCTTTCAGCCTTCTCTAAACGGTTTACAGAGTCAGCATATCGCCCCCA